AGATACAGCGGAAAAATACAAACCAAAAATTATCTCTTTTTATAATTTGACTAAAGGTGCTGTAGATGTGGTCGATGAAATGAAAAGTTTGTATTCCGTTTCACGTATTAGCTGCAGATGGCCTTTGACTATTTTTTTCTCTTTGCTTAATACAGGAGCTGTAAACTGCTATATTATATATAAAGCTAACAATGAGAATGCTGCAATTATATCCCAAAGACGCAATTTTCTAAAAGAGCTGGCTTTGCAGCTCATAAGACCTCATGTGGTGAATCGTGCTAATATACCAAACTTGAGTCTGTCCCAACGTGCCTTTATTCACAAATTAGCTGGATTACCATTTTTGCAACAAGGAGCAAGGGATCCAAATGAACAAAGATTTTGTCAACTATGTCCTCGACGAAAAAACAGACGAACCAAGAAATCGTGTGTTTCCTGCCAACGAGCTATTTGCACAGAGCAAATCAATTTTAAAGAAGAATCATTTCATCTACTATAGGCCAAACTTCGAAAAAATAAACAAAAAATTGAGCCATATCAACGATCTCCATCCATTAAGCAAAATAAATGTTAGTATTAAATATATATTTTTAATAATTTTTTTTTATAACAAATGTATATTTTTTTTAGTTCTTTCATCTCTTTTGGTATTACAAAAAAGAACTTACAGAAGATAACATTAAAGGTACCGAAGAGTCATTCCTTCGACCAGAAATTAAAAAACTTTTCCTAAAATGTATAGCTTATTTCGAATGTCATCCACAACAAGATAACATAGACAAATTGTTTCAAAGTCTGGAGAACCCATTTACTTGTTGGGATGGTTTGTCATTGTACGGTGAGTAAATTTTGCTTATTTTTTTTTAAATATCTAATTTCTTAATGTTTCTTTTAGCCTCTTATGCGATAGTAGACTTGAATATTTCATCATATTTTAGAAGAAGTTTGACAGAACAATATGTCAAACTACTATATCCAGGTGATGCTTCTTTCGATGATTCTCGAAGAAGCAGTTTTAATGCAACGGCAGAAGGAACGAGTAGTCTGGACGTTCCGATGTTAAACTGCCCTGCACATAGTAGTACTCCAGTGGTTCAAAAGATTGAATCAAGCAAAGAACGGTGTACAAATGTTCTGGAAGCGACTCCTTCAGAATCGATTTCAGTTTTACCCTTGTGTTCAAAGGAAAATATAAATCCGAAAGATTCTGATTGAGATAGTGATTTTCTTGGATTTTCTCCATCGAATTTAACTTCTCAATGCAATTTAAAAGATTTTCCATCTACATCCAGTTTAAGAAAAGATTTACCAACTCCAAACTCAAATGTGAGAGATTCTAGTCGTTCTTCTCCTAATAATTCAACTTCTAATCGTTCTTCGACAAGTTCCGAAGCACAATATATGTGTAAAGTTTGCTTTAAGATTTTTCCACTTTATATTAACTTATACAGGGTTGGGCATAATTGGCGGAACACCCGATTTGTGGCTCAATTATGGATTGTATTGAAAATTAACCCAAATAAAGTTTTTTGTATATTTTATGTACTATTTAATGACGCTTGGGGATTTTCATTATCTGTCATATTTATCAAGATATGACGTCATCGGATGAAATTTTAAATGAATCACCCTATATTTATATTTTTTTTCAGATAGATCTTTTCTTTCTGAATCCATCAATATGGGGTTCGGGTGGTCTCTGATTTTCCTTATCAGAAAATAATAAAACAAAATGGTAAACGTTCTTTTAAATAATTAATGAATAACTATTCACAAAGTTGTCTGTGCCATCATAATGTACCAATATCAATTGTTTTGCCATGGTTTCACTTTTTGACATTAAAATGTAATATTGACATCTCGATATTAATCACTGAGTTTTATTAATACGATTATTGTACATCTCTGACAGAAATACCTACCAATGTTTTTGTGTTACTGTTTACTTGGTTTTTATAATATTATAAAAACTATTGTCACCTTTTATTAATCTGTAGATTTTAATTCATTCTGGTTTATGGAGACAATCAAACAAGTTGAGTTTAATTGCAAGTCAATTCATTTCACCCAAACTAGCCCAATACGCGAAAATAAATAACTCTTAGCATTTGATACTATTGAGAATTTTTATTAATTTAAACCATGGTTGAACTGAGTGAACGTGAAAGAATTGCACTATTGATGATTATTGGGTTTGGAGACAGAAAGAGATCTCTGCAAGAAGCTTGTAATTTGTTCAATGAAACATTTCCTGACAGGATTTCCCCGATTTCTAAATCTACAGTATCCAGAAATTTGAGCAAGTTTAATGAAACAGGAAGTGTGAAAAATAATCCCAGATCTGGACGGAAGAAGACAGCCACTGATGAAGAAAATGCACTTAATGTGGTTCTAAGTGTACAGGAAGAACCAAAAACTTCAGTTCCAAAGCTTGCGTTAGACAATATTATGAGCGAGAGATCTGTAAGGAGGATTCTGAAAGTCAATAAATTTCATCCCTATAAAGTGCAATTACACCAGGAATTGAATGAAGATGACCCAGATAGGCGAATGCAATTCTGCCAGGTAATGATGGATGCCATTAATGGAAATAATATGTTGATGAACAGCATTGTTTTTTCCGACGAATCAACATTTTGTCTCAATGGATTTGTAAATAAACATAATTGCCGGTATTGGTCTGATCATAATCCTCACTGGATGGAAGAAGGTCACACCCAATATCCACAAAAGTTAAATGTTTGGGCTGGTATAGTTAGAGGAAGAATTATTGGACCATTCTTCATGAGAGGAACTCTGAACGGTGATCGTTATTTGCAACTACTTCAAGAGCAGATAGTTCCAGAGTTAGTTCGTTTATATCCAAATCACAGAAATCACTTACAACTTTCTGATGAAATTTGGTTCCAGCAAGATGGTGCTCCACCTCATTTCGATGCTAGAGTGAGGCAGTACCTGAACACAATATTTCCACAGAGATGGGTGGGTCGAAGAGGACATATTGAGTGGCCGGCACGGTCACCGGATTTAACCCCACTGGATTTTTTTCTTTGGAGCCATTTGAAATCAGTAGTTTATAAGGACCTGCCACATTCGCTGGAAGAATTGAAATACAAAATAAGAACTGCTGTTCAAGAAATAACACCTGAAGTTTATCAAAATGCCTTAAGATCATTTGTTGATAGACTAGGATATTGTCAGGCAGTTGGAGGCTTTCACTTCGAACACTTACTTTGAGAGATTTGTAATACTTCGATTGATAATAATTATTATTTTTTATTAAATAAATGTTTACTTTCTATTTTGTTATGAACTCGACCCTCAAACCTTACATTAATGGATTCAGAAAGAAAAGATCTATCTGAAAAAAAATATAAATATAGGGTGATTCATTTAAAATTTCATCCGATGACGTCATATCTTGATAAATATGACAGATAATGAAAATCCCCAAGCGTCATTAAATAGTACATAAAATATACAAAAAACTTTATTTGGGTTAATTTTCAATACAATCCATAATTGAGCCACAAATCGGGTGTTCCGCCAATTATGCCCAACCCTGTATAATCATAGTAAGACTTACAAAAAAAGAGATTTCGTTTGCTGCTTTTGTTTGAAGAAATTCGATAAGAAAATTACAATTCTGAATCACATGAAAATCCATAAAAGGAAGTCCTAAGATGTATGTAATTTTTAATTTTGATTTAGATTTTTTTTTTAATTATATTATTTGTTTTAGATATGGTTCTACAAATAATCCAGTATTCCACTTTGAGTTTACAATTTTTCAAGTATTCCACTTTAAGTTTACAATTTTTTCATTTGAACTCTCTTGGAAGAAGGTCGTGGGCAAATTTTTTTAAGGGTGAGTGAAAAATTATTTGATAATTTTCCTTAAATTGTATTAATTCAATAATATTGAAGCCATCGATATATAGATTTAACAGAATTGTCTTTTAAAAAATGTTTAAGTAGTAATTCGACATTTTTACGTGCATATTTTAAAGATATTTTAATGGTTCAATATTACCTAGTGAGATAATTACAGACTGTAGGTATTGTACCTACTTTTTTTTTTAATTAAAATGCATGTAGTGAGAAAAAAATAGTACATGAGCCACCGTAGAGGTCGATTAAAGACACAGTTTTTGTTTATGGTTTATAATGTGACTTTTTTTGCTTGAACATTCCTGAAAATCGTTACACCTGTCTTTCTTGAGCCTACGAAGACAAAAATGGATATAAAATTTTGATGTTTTTAATTTTTTAATATTATTCTGTCTGTATAACATTTATTTAGTGATTTTTACACATACCCAATATATAATAAAAATCTACCATCACATAGCTAAAGATTGCTTTATAGAGCCTATTGATAAAATTTGAACGTCTGTATTACACGCTACTTCTCTTCTTTTCAGTGGGTGGATGTCTCTGAATTTCTGCAAGGATGACTTTTTTTCTCAACCTTTTAGGGTGTATAAAATGAAGGTCTATTTACGTACGACTTCATATAAACCTCATGATAGGTTTCACATAAATTTAATGTTGAAATCTTTATACAATTATTCAAACATTTCAACTAATTCACGGGAACAGCTGACGGAGTTGATGGATTCATGTTATTATAAAATTAAAAATTTTCCAATAGTCAAATTGTGTCCAATTGTGGCACTAGCCAGAGTTTTAAGAAAACTTCATATAAATGATATGACTCGCCGCTCCTGCAGCAAGCATAAAGCTTCTAAAATTCTTTCATTTTTCCCTCTGATTTCGTAGACACCAGTAAAGCTGTGGAATATTTCCAAATAATTTTATCGCGGACCTCGTTCCACGATTGTTTTTTAAATATTGATGACATTTTAAATGTAGACGAAAACAAGTATTATACTTTAGAATATCTCAAGATGGTAGTATGGCACGACCTACGGGTCAACACAGATGTGCCAGAATACCCCACTTCACATATAAAAATTTTTCCTAAATATAATTTTATCATGCCAGATATTTTAATTTTTGAGCCAAAAAAACCTTCTAAATTTAAATCTAAAAATTTTGTACGTTTGTCCACGTCGTCCGCTGTAGTTCAAAGGACCGATACGTCGCTGCCACCATCTCCTTTTCCTTCGGTATCTTTCACAATGTCTCAAAGGACCGATACGTCGCTGCCACCGTCTCCTATTCCTTCGGTATCTTTTACACTGTCTCAAAGGACAGATACGTCGCCGCCACCGTCTCCTATTCCTTCGGTGTCTTACACAATGTCTCAAAGGTCGCTGTCACCGTCTCCTGTTCCTTTTATGTACTTTACAATGTCTGAAAGGACCGATACGGCGCCGCCACTGTCTCAATTTGGAGATACGCCACTGTATCAATTCAAACATACGTCGCCGCCACTGTCTCCTGTTCCTCCTACGACAGCGGTCCCTTCGCCACTGTCTCAATTTGAAGAAGATACGCCGCCGCCACTGTCTCAATTCAAAGATACGCCGCCGCCACTGTATCAATTCAAAGATACGCCGCCGCCACTGTCTCAATTCAAAGATACGCCGCCGCCACTGTCTACTACTGTTTCTCCTACGACAACGTCTCAATGTAAAGATACGCCGCCGCCACTGTCTCAATTCAAAGATACGCCGCCGCCACTGTCTCAATTCAAAGATACGCCGCCGCCACTGTCTCAATTCAAAGATACGCCACCGCCACTGTCTACTACTGTTTCTCCTACGACAACGTCTCAATGTAAAGATACTCTGCCACCGTCTACTACTGTTTCTCCTACGACGTCTCAATTTAAAGATACGCCGTCGCCACTGTCTCATACTGTTTCTCCTACGACAGCGGCCCCTTCGCCGCCATCGTCTCCGGAATCATCAACTTCAA